TTTGTTCCAAATACATGCCTCGTTAACTATATGGCATCACGCCACCTGTTCCGACCATGTTCCACCCTCCTAGAGCTTTACGTTCCGGAACTAAAATCCCATGAGAAACAGCGTAATCTCTCAGCCAACCTGCCCAAAGCCTCCGGCCCCATCATCCTGGCTCAAAGCGACCGCCACTCCCCACTACGGGTGTGACAACAGCTCGCTTGGCACGTATGCTCAGAGAAATGATTATCCAAAGACGTCTGGGATTCTTCGTGAGACGAGGATCGTCATCGCCGTGGATTAGGATGCGGTGAGGGGAGTGACACATCCCAAGCGCACCGGCAGGTCTGCAGCGGAGGAAATGTCCTGTCGGCCATTTTCTGAACTAGCCATTTTTTGCAGCCCGACGAGCACGTTACGACGGCGTACTGACGAAGCGTTTCAGTCCACACCCAAATAATAAATGAAAAAGAACAGAGAAGCCGGGGCTCAGCGAACTCCATGAGACCCTTCTAGCCGCCTGAGCCCACTACAATTGCCACTCTATTTTCCCATCCTCACTTTTTCCTCCACCTGACATCTCAATCGAAAGCTTCCCTGATGACACATTCAGCCTTCTAGGAGGAGACACCTGTAGTGAACATGAAACATTCACGCATTCAGTATTTTGTGTTATTGGATTCTATTTTTGGTTGTATCTTCCGATCATCCATTTGTTTTACTGACGGCACATTCGGTTCAATTTCGAATATCTTGTTGGGCGCGCGCTACCTTGCACTGTGCGCGTGCTAAGTTGCTTCACCTTCCTTACAGATCTGCACAATACACATTGGGCCCGGTATTATTCACATGTCTGAATAATTGGTATGAGTATTGGTTCTCACTGATTCTCCTCGGCACCAGTAATTGAGTTCCGCACTGCACACTGATCTTAGTCATGCATATTCTAAAAGCGAACTTGTTGAGGACTCACCTAAAGTAACCGCCACAACTGCATATCCTAGAGTATTTCAGTATACCTGTCCCCATTTCAGAATAAATTCCGCACCCACCATCTTCCACCGGATTGTGGATGACATCGTGAAGGATATACCATGTACTTGTGCCTATTTGGATGGGATTCTGGCCGCAGGGATGCTGAACATCTAAAGACACTACGAACGGTGTTTGAACGTTTGGAAGCGAATGGATTGAAACTAAAGAAATCTAAATGCAATTTTTTGTTTGAATCTGTTTATCTTAGGTAGAGGGGAAGGGGGGGGGGGGGGGGGGGGGTGGGTATATCTAAGGGGGGGGGGGGGGGGGGGGGGGGAAA